ATTAATGGAAAATGAGTCAATCATGCTATGTGGGCGAGATGAAGTGATGACGATGGTGGTGAGTCAGCACGGGGTGGAGGGGTAAATTATCAGAGGCTGCAGTAGGGAAATATGAAACCATGATGGGACAAATTCAAGGTCATGAGATAATGCAACATGTTGAGGTCAAGCCAGTATACTAAAAGTTATGATTAACAATGGAAAAGCATGAGATAATAAAGGTCTCACCACTGGCAGATGAGGGGGGGGGGGAGAGAGATCATTATAATCATGAAAGATGGTTTTGTTTATAAAGAAATGGGTGAAACATGACATGAATATGTTTATCATATAAATTGAGTGATTTTTTAAAGGCAGAAGAAAAATATATTAAAAAACTATGCATAAGCACTTTCATGAACTATAATGTACAAGGATGCTTTCAGCCATCTCAAAATTAAGTTGTACTGATATAAATTCTTCAACAAAGTACACTAACAATACATTTATTACAAATCAAAATAAATCCTCCCAAGTAATGCCTCTTTATAAATTTTCACGTAAATTTTAAATAGTTTTATAATATTCTGATAGATTGCCTGTTAGCTGACACACTTACACACACACATACACATACAAACAAGATAAAAGGAAATAATATTAACAAACAAATGACAATTGTCACTGAAATTACAGTTTCAAATGAAATATCGAATTAAGAACAAATGATCTATGAATAATTAATAAAACTACTGTAAATTCCTCCTGAAATCATTTAAATGTTGGTATCATCTAAAATCTTATTGTTTGTACAGTTTGGGTATTAATAAAGTCCACTTGGAAATTAGTACAAATAATTATGTTAAAAGAAAACAGAAGATGATGATGAATAAATCCTTACTGTACTGTACCTTGAGAGAACGAGCACGCACACACACACACATTTAGTATTTGAGTAAAGTAAATCAACTGCTACACACCTCCAGTACATACTTAAGATAACCAGACACCTTGATGGCACTGTATAGAAAACATTTGTATTGTTCACACTCACAAACATCTATGACTGGGATCAATATATTTAAGAGGATGTACAAAAAATGGTAATATTATTCACATGCATTCATTCATACAAAACTGATCCTCATATTCATCCTGTACAGTACCCATGATGAAGCAACTTAAAAGAAAAAAATTTATAAATTTTGAGTTTTGTCTTTTTTTTTTTACATATCAAGGTGAAAAGGTAGAAATTGTTCTCAGACCTACAGACAAATGGTCTAAATTATAAAAAATAATAGATAGAAATAAACTTAAAATAAAAGCCTGAAAAGTATTGTTGTCGTATAATAAAGGTTAAGGTCTATACAGTATCTAGGTTATTTGGGGTGGGGTGGGGTGGACAAGAGGTACAAAATGGGTCACGTGATTGATATGGAAGCATGGGGGTATGAAATACCTTAGAAATGGGCTGTACAAATGGATGCTAAGGACCAAAGTGTCTGGGATACTCCTGGTTTGGTGGTGGTGTTTGGTGCTACTAATGTAGAGTTGAAGGATGTCCAGCTAAACTAGGATAAACCCATCTGGCAATATAAACATTAATGAACATCACCAAAAACTTGTTTCCATTTCAATAATTGATTCTGCTTGTTACAAACAATAAACGGATCATTCCAAAATGTTTCACTTCCAAAAACTGTTGAATTATGATGCTGAACTGAGAAAACTATTTTCTGCAACATGAGTGTAAAATAATATGATCTTCCCCTTCTAGTGCCCATCTGAAACACTGTATATCTCCTATTTGCTCCAATTACATCTGCTAAAAAATACATGTTTTTTTTTTCCATTTAAACACGTCAAAAATATCACGTCCAGGCCATAACTCGACCCTTGACCTGTTGTCCCTGATTACTGTACTTTACTGTCCGGCAAACTTCACCACATTTTACTTGACACTTTTAATCATGCAGTCCTCTGCTCTGTTATCTGCACAACACTAATGGCAGCAATATCTGAAGTCTTCCACATAAAAAAAAAGAGCAGAAAAAAAGCAGCCATGTTGTCATAAACTTTAAAATAATATAAAATTTCCGAGATTTACTTCAAAGTGAAAGAGACATCTAGCTTGTGTACCCTCGTTTCAAACTGTAGCTACAATTATCTCACATCATCATCACTGGACCGCTGGCTCACAGTCTCGGGTAACTCTTGGGAATCAATACATCTAACACATTTTTTTTTAAATAACTGATGTAATAAAGCTACATCTTTAACAGACAAAATTGTCAATTATACATTTCATACAAATTTGTTTAACAAATACGATTAAATGCATTTCAAGATAAAAATCTACATATGTATCGAAGCACATCAGGTTTTTTTTTGCTATGCCACAAACTGGAAGTTCTCTAAATCTTTTAAAATGATCTATGGTAGTCAATTACTGTACATATTAGTGACATCACAGAAAATATAGCATCTTCTCAGAAACTTGTCAATTCCATGCAAAATCAGTGTTCACCTACAATTACAGATGACTATCACAAGGATGGACCCAAATTTGAGGTGAAAATATTTCTAACACATGATAAATTAAACAGGTGTGTGTGTGTGGTGTATGTATGTGGTGTGTGGTGTATGGTGTATGTGTGTGTGTGTGTGTATGTGTGTGTGTGTGTGTGTGTGTGTGTGTGTGTGTGTGTGTGTGTGTGTGTGTGTGTGTGTGTGTGTGTGTGTGTGTGTGTGTGTGTGTGTGTGTGTGTGTGTGTGTGTGTGTGTGTGTGTGTGTGTGTGTATGGTGCAGTGTGTGTGTGTGTGTGTGTGTGTGTGTGTATGGTGCAGTGTGTGTGTGTGTGTGTGTGTGTGTGTGTATGGTGCAGTGTGTGTGTGTGTGTGTGTGTATGGTGCAGTGTGTGTGTGTGTGTGTGTGGTGCAGTGTGTGTGTGTGTGTGTGTGTGTGTGTGTGTGTGTGTGCACTGTTACATCTCAACACAGCTCACACAACAACAACAAATATCCCACAACAGAACACAGGCCTCAAATTGGATCTAGTATATCAAATATTCATAAAATCTAAAATCAAATACTGTGGTGAATAAGTACAAACAACACATTACCATTCTTAAAATATGAAGATCAATACTTAGTAAAAGAATAATATGGTCCAAACATAGATAAAGTTTTTGTTCTTAAGTGTAATACCACAATTTAGTAGTGCTGTTAACACCTAAATAACAGCCCACTACTGTATGATGATAAAAAGAGTATTCAAATATAAAAAATGTTTTCACAATAACTGAACACTTGCCCCACCTCAGGTCCCTCCACCAAAACTTCCTCTTTAGACATCATGCATTAAACTCACTCTTCTCGTCCCCCAGTGTCCAAACCCTCAAATATTGCATCTGTTTGTTCTCTGGCTGACTTTACCATGGCCACAATATTTATATTTCATGATTGTCCTTCTGCATCCCATGTACTGTAATGTCAAAACTTTTAATACTTGGTATGAGGATTACATTCATATTTAGTTTATAAATTTATAAATTTGAGTACCCTTACAGAATCTTAATTGCTGTTAAATTTCCGAAAGGATACACAGCACATTGTCCGAGCTAAGATTTGTCAACGTCAGCCATCTCAACCATGAAAGTCATTCAGTATCAAGATATTCAAGAAATCTCTTATAAGTTTTGAGCTGCACTAAAAGATTTCTACAGTTCTTTACCGACATTCATCTGACGTTCCACAACAAAGTGCCAGTTATGTGATGGGAAGACACATACTGGGGAAATCATCTAAATATTATTAGGGTCTATGCATTTTTCTTTTACATTACACTAAACCTATTATAGAAATTAAAATAAATGATAAAACTTAAAATAAAATAAATATACTGTATTACTAATATAGTCATCTCTTATAATTGTTATTAGCTGAATACAATTTTATGAGCAATTATATCTCGAGTTAAATGTAGGCGATTGTCTTAAAAGTCTCACAATCAACACAACTATTAATGATGGGTAAGTGAGAATGAATGTCTATAAAACAAGATACAAATTAAAGTATAATCACTTACTATACCCTGCTAAAGTTCTCAAGGTCATATGTTAAAACAAAATTATGACATTGTTGGGTGTAACATGGCAGTCAAGAACAAGAGCTGGCACACATACAAGAGCTTTTGCTTTATAATGAAGAAGTACTGAAGTGACCATTTCTTACCCACAATACTTCACTACTGTATCAACCTCTTCACTCACATTTATAATCCATGAACTGGTGGACAACAGTCTCTTACATAATGTGTTCACAAATACAAGACAATAAATATGGAGCGACAATGATCCCAGGAGGCAGTGTAAGATATACACCGGCTGGTAAAGTGTACAGTATGTACTGTATCTGGTACTTTACTGGACATCAGTAAATCTTCAATAAGGCCCTAAGTTCATACCAGGAAGGAAGGAAGGAAGGAAGGAGGGACAGTACATTTATGAATACCGGAAATGTACACAGAACAGGAATGTAAGAGGCTGGTGGAATAACTAAAGAATGTGATGGTGGGGCCACTACTTGAAGAGAAGGGCCTTGTTGATGTTGCTAACACAAATAAAATATTATGGTCAACGGAGGCACGGTGAGCTCCCTGAAGGCTCGCTCACGAGGTATGGTGGATGAACCACTGGGGCCACAGTGAGTGTGCATGATGGAGAGCCAACCAGCTCACCTCAACACCTAACTGTATCAGAGAACATGGCAATGGTTTAATTTTTCACTTGTATCACACACTCAAATTCTTACATCCATATTTTCACATTAGGGGATGGCAATTCTTCTTTTACAAAAATGCTCCACAAATGCCCAATTTCATAATATATATATATATATATATATATATATATATATATATATATATATATATATATATATATATATATATATATATATATATATATATATATATATATATATATATATATATATATATATATATATATATATATATATATATATATATATATATATAAACAATGAAACTGCAGGTGACAGATGAGGGCAACTCATTGGCTAACAACATTACCATAAAGGCAGCCATTATCTGTGATGCCACATTACCACAGTGGCATCATCTACTGTCCATGGAGCCCCAAGCTCAACTCTTCAGGCTCCATTTTAATGTCATGGCTTTTAAAAGGAAACAAATATTTGTGACTAGCATAGGTGCACACTTGGCAAGGAGTGCCCAATTTTCTGATCAACAGGCAATTATCACACCCATTACTATAAAATTGTTCCAGGTGGATGCTTTCACTTGGCACAATGTCATGTCACCACCTTCACACATTCACCCTGCTGCTGACCCAACTGTCATGGTCAGTGAGATACTCACACATGCACACTTACAAACACATAAAAAACACTCAAGCTCCCCACTTGCTGGGTGTGTGCAGCAGGTTAGGTTCTTCACACACTGATCTCGTAATTCATGTCATAGGCAGAACGCCGGTCAAGATCTTGAGGGGTGGCCAGTCGATGGTCGGGCTTGGGAGTATGAGTGGGACTTAGAGTTCCACCGTGTGGCCCACGCTGACTGTGCATTACTGCATGATGGCTGTCGTGAGGCGCCACGTGTGGACCCGGGTGATGAGGAGGCCCTCGTGAAGACATTTCTATGCTATCCATCATGTCTAGAGACCTAACAAAAGATACTGGTCGCTTCTGACCGGGACTTGGTCTGCTTCCTTCTGTTGGGGTGGGAGGAGTTGCTAAACCACCACCGTAATTCTTTCGTCTTATTTGAGGAGACTGAGGACCAATGTAACTTGGACCAGAATTACGACGCCCAACATTCATTTGTTGTTGGGATGGATACCCTTGGTGTGGCTGGTGTCCCATATGATGAGCATATGGGGGTTGATGGGTGGGTGGGTAGTGTCCACTATGAACACCAGCTACTTGGGTAGGGTGGATATGATGATAGTAATGAGGTGCAGGGCAGGTTTGCGTTGGACTGGTTGGATTTGACCGGTATTCTTGTGATCCACAGGACTGATAAGCTGCTCCGGGTTCATTTGGTCCACCTTGACAATATTGTGGTGGTGACTGGTCCCTCCAGGTGTACTGGCCGTGTTGAGGCGATCCAGCGAGCTCCTGAATATTGTCAAACATTGTAGTAGTACGAGGATATGAAGCACTCGGATCTGAGGGTTGTCTCATCAACTCTGATTCGGACATGTAGCGTCGCTGGGGTGAACCATTAGAGTGTGAAGTGTGAGGAGGTTCATAAGAGTACTGAGGGTAATATTGAGGTGGTCCTCTACCTCCGTCACTTCCAATACCAATAAAATCTGGGCGGCGAGGCTGAGTGGGTGTGCTCGGATTTGACCGACGTAGAGGCGAGGACATGGCGAGAGGCGTTGGAACTCCACCGAGTTGCTTCATGCGATGATGCAATGTTGGAGAGCCCGGAACACCCTGGTACACCTGCTGACCACTAGGGCTGGAAGGTCCCGTGCGGGGTCCTCCTGGCGCTGGTGGGGATGTTTGGATGGGACGCTCTGGAGAAAGTGGGTCTGGAGTGGTAGATCGGGACCGACCATCCAATCCCCTGCAATTACACAACCAGCATTATACTTAACTTCTAAATTACTTCGATTAGTTTTAAATTTATGGAAGTAGTAATAAGAGAGGGGGGAGGGGGTCACCTCTGGGTGCTGGGAGGATGAAGGGGAGAAGTGGTGTGACCATTACTGTGGTCATGGGTTTACATCACTAGAAAGGCTACAATATGACTTTAAAGTTAACCAAGTACATAAATTCACCTTCTAATATAATGCTAACTAAATCACATTCCAATCTCAAACTACGTTATAACAATACCAGTATTTCTCTCATGTTTTCTGCACGAATCCATCAAAAGAAACAATACAGATAAAACTGTAAACATGATGTTGAGCATTACAAAAATACTTGATCAATTTTTAACCTATCAAGATCAAATTATGCAATTCAAGGAAAGCTTTGAACATATTAAGTCAGGGATGCAGGTGGATGGTAAAGAAATAACTTTATTACCATTATCATCCACTTCTGGTCTGGGGACATGTACTGTACAACACAGGGCCATAACCTGGTAATGAATCACATATACAGTATAGTAGTAGCTTGGTGTCAGAGGGTGTCAGAATGGTAACATCCTACTTCGTCTACTTCCTGTTAGGTTAGATTAGATTAGGTTAGGTCAGGTCATCATTAACTGCCCACCAGAGCACAGGTCAATGACCCACACCTGGGCCTGGGGGGCAAAAATATAATATAATATAATATAATGGGGCCGGTGGTAGAAGCGGTATCGCTCTTGCCTCGCAAGCAAGATGTCACGGGTTCGATTCCTGGGCCGGTGAAAGTTGTTTGGACATACTTCCTAGCCCCCATTAGTCCCTGTTCACCTAGCAGTAAAGTAGGTACCTGTTAAGTCGAATGTTATGAATTCGTATTCAGGGAGTTGTTGGAGCTTCCAATAACTTGACGACATAAACCATTGACTCTTCAGGCTTCTACGCCCTTAACTCATGAGACATAAAGGCAAACATGAACTTAGCATGCTTCCCTATTGGGCACTGTAAACGCTTCTGCGCTTCACCTTACACAAGGATGTAGAGGGGTGCCCAATAAAAAAAATAAAATAAAATAAAATAAATAAAACAATATAATATAATATAATATATAATAATGATAATGAATAAAAATTAACATAAATTTTTAAAAGTATATTCAATAAAAATATAATAATAATAATAATAATAATAATAATAATAATACAGCACGCTTTGACAATTTGCAAATTTTTAATTCGTGATCCTCAATTATTCGTGGATTACACCCTGGATGTACCCAAGAATGTCTGTGGGTAGTTTTAAAGTTGCCGCCATTTTTGCGGCCAGGACAGGAAGCCATTCGTTCTAGAGACAGTAATTTCTTTTACCTGCATTGTGTATGTGTAGACACACACACACATAAAACGCATACAAGTAAATAATAGTGGGAAAATCCTCTCACAAATAATCAGAAACAAGACAAAATGTTTCAAAATGTAGAAAAAATGTGAGTTTACCCTCAAGTCAATATCGTGCTTTGTTATTAAAGTTAACTTTAATAACATCGTGCTTTGTCACAATTTTTGAGATGCTACATGGCAGCAGGGTCTACCATTAGACAACACATTAAACAGTACTTCAATATCTTTCAAGGTGGTAGTACCTCCCTGTTTGATGGCTGCCTACTACCTGGTAATGAGACTAGACAAAGCGGGCATAAATCATCAGAATATGGAAGAATGAAACATTTACTGCACAATAATATACACTCTCAAACTCTTGAGAATTTTGGTCACCACTAACAAAGGTCTTCCTCCAACACCTTGATGTGTTAGAAGACACTCTAGCAGCCTCTGGCACAGGTACTCACGAAACCAGTTATGTCAGTTCTGATATTGCAAAACAGTCGTAAACACTAGTCAGCAAGTGCCTACAAGAGTATGTAGAATGGATGCATGTGGCCTGAGCGTGCAATATACTTTGGGGACTTTGGCTGCTGGTGGTGGTTGGTGGTGGTGGTAGAGACAGCAAAAGCACAACCAAGTATAACAATGAAAGAAAAGTGAAAATCACATCAGCATTTAATGAATGAAAAATGTAGATATGATGAGTAGTGCTGCACATGTTCAGAGGTACTGTAGTAAGAGCACCTCATTTATTTTACCCCCATGGTAGTACAGTAAGTCCAGGAGTGACCAAGACCTTTTCAAATTTTACACTCACAAGTTCACATTATACGGTAGAAGATTTTCTGACATTAATTACAGGGAGAAAATATTATTGTAAGCTAAGACTGACTCAGTTCCTTCCAAAATGACCTAGTATGTTAACAGAGGTGTTATGAGACAGAAAGCCAATATAATGTGTGTGTGCATGTAGGGGGGCAGCTCACATATTCTCATGAACAGAAGAATCACTAACCGTGGTCTCGATGTGTGTGGCGATCGCGGTGGTCTGGTAACCTGCTGACTTGCATTGGCCTTGCGTGGTGAGTCAGTGTAAGGGTGATGGTGATGATGATGGTGATAAGCAGGGTGATGGTGTGGTGGTGGTGCGTCAGGCTGGAAGAAGTTAGTCTTGGAAGGGTGACGTGGCAAGGGGGGCGTGGGTTCGCAGTCCTGACTCTGGCTCATGCCCGGTGGGGGTTGGCTGCCATCTTCAACACATTCTCCTGCCCCACTTCCACCCACACCAACAGACGATGAAGCTCCGGCCCCTCCCCCCTCCACCAGCTACAGTCAGGGAGATAATACTTTATTACAACTAAGCCAACACTACATACTCTTAAATACAGCGATAGATAAACAATACAGTACAGGTAGATCAACAAGGAAGAAGAGAAGCACGGTTACTGGGTATAACAAAACAATAAGCGATTAAGCATATAATAACAATAATATGGGTTTTCGCACAAAAAAGCGAGAGGAGTTTCGCGATACCGGACAGAGCAGTTCTGGAAGTAAACCCCTGAGACAGGACATGGATTCTACAAATGCAACAATCACATAAAACTTGCTTGTACTGAGTTTCTTCTCTAAAATACATAACATTATCAAAATCAAATAATCCAACAATAACAAAAGCTAACAGAGTATTGCATATTGCTCTTAAACATAGGTAAAAAATGCCAAGAAGCAAATTAATACAGGCACACAAGAGGGCATCACTATCCCTACCCATTACATAACACAAAAAAATAATCCCGTAGACTGTTATAAACAAATGCGCCATAACACTAGTACACAATGCACTACTCTCTCTCTCTCTTAATTAAGCACAACTTAACCTTAAGGCTACAGCTATTATTTTCACCATTATCATTCCATCTTCACATTAACTCCTCCCTAAGGTAAAAATGTCTAATATCCTAAACTCTGTAAAAAGCCTCACATTTTATTCACTATAATGAATAAAAAATTTCAGGATTAGAGAAGTTGTACATTAACCCAGGATCTCTGGTGACAAAAATTCTAAATCAATTTTTTCTTAGAGTAAGTACAGTATAGCAGTTTACACCAGCATTCAATTCTAGTTTTAAAAATATTAATATTGTATAACACAATGTCACTATCCTTTCCCAAAGAGTCACAAAAATGAACAAAATAAGATATTTCTGCCTAGCAAGCAGCTGTTCCAAGGCAGAAAAATTGTTGCAGAAACATTAATTACTTCCTTTTAACCATCATGTTTGCCTTCACATCACTCCAGCTGCTACACACACCAGCTGTATGCCACCTTTGTCCTGTACACACACTGAAATCCTAACAAATTCAGTAATGTAGTTGAATGTCATTTCTGTCCTGATGCATCATGCACAGAACTGAAATATGAACCACAGCTGATTTCTGTAATCATATCTCAACACAGGACCTTCACAGGTAATACTGTATGCTTAAAGTCATCTCCACAAATTATGGTATGTGTAAACATCTGCACATTTTTATAAATCGATCAAAACATTAAAATGGCCACATTATTTTAGCCCCCAAAAATCGTATGTACACAGAGTGAGCATGTAGTATAACACAAGACATCCAAAATTATATCCTGAACATACTCACATCCTTCTAGTACAGGTACCACTAACATACATGTACAGTACTCTCTTAACCAATGGCTATGGATGCCCTACTCCATACCCTTATATGTAAAAATAGAATGCCAGGAACATGAAACATCCACAGCAAACTTCCACTGATGACAGCTGCCATTTAAGTTACTGTAATAACTTTCCATTTCATCTTTAATCTTCCTAAATCCATTCGAGTTCATCATACTCAACCACCTGGCTAGTAAATCTTTCTTCATGCCTATCCTCTCCCAATTTTATAAGTTCTTTCAAATATCTTCCTTCTGTAATCATTCCTCTCTCTTAAGGCTATCAACTTTCCTCAAATAATCCCCCTTAATACCTTTGAACTTTCTTAGCAGAACATTAGACCAGAAAAGAAAAAAATTACCATTTTATCTATGATGCATCACACAAACACCTCTCAGTGAACCTCATCTCACACAAACACTCAGTGAACCTCACCTCACACAAACACACCATTTCAGTGAACATCCAGCAAGGTTTCATTCAGGCCTGGGCACTATCTCAATGACCAACTCAATGCTCAGACTTGTACAATCACAGAAGGTTTAGTGACTCTTCCATGCTGAGTAATAGAGGTAAAAGCTTCAGAGCAAATCAAGGAAGGGGGGGCTAAAACAAACCCTAAATCATCATTCAGTCAGAAAACAAATCATTCTTATACAACTGTAACACAGTGATCATGACTCAAACTCACAGATTATGTAACCATGGCAACAACACTATAAGGTACTGTACTAAACACACATGGAGTCTTCTCAAATAGAATGAGAAAATGGCAGAGATAAATTTCAGTTGTAGCAAGGACACAGTAAATGATAGCTGAGGACAAGTGGACAACACAGTGAATATAATATACCGTACTACTAAAGTCCATTTGCCTCCCCCTCTGAACCACAAACTCCGAGATTCAGATCTGTGAACCCAAAGCAGTATAACTGGTACGTTATTTTGTCCATAAATGCTTCGGATTTATTACGTCTGAATCTTGGGGTTCGTGGTTCAGAGGGAAAGGTGAACGAACTTTAGTAGTTGACAGTGCTGTGTGTACAGTAAATCACATGATTTTTTACTTTTTCTATACTCTTCTCCTAAATCTTTTTTTCACCTCCCATGTTTTTCCAGTTTATAGCATGGTCTCTCAACTTTGAATGTCTTCCATGCCAACTCTCTGAGGAAAACAAATAAAGTTCTCTACTTTACAGATATGAACTCAACACCTAAACATCCACTGCCATTTTACACACTAATCACAAACTTGACCATTATCATTAAACACAATTAAGTATTACGGAAACAAGTGCCAGTATATATGCAGTATTACTGTACCTGGATTATTTCATCACTACAGACTAACTGGGAAGTAGAGTAACAGTAACAGAGGCTCTTGAGGAACTTTTACTGTAAGGCAACAATAATTACATACACTACCTAAACCATTCACACACACATACACGCACTCTACTGGACTGAAGGCGTCGCCAAACTGTACGAGAAGAAGATAAACAATTCTTGCAAGACTACTGTACTGTACGCGGTAAAAGTCGAGCCTAAAGATGGGAGACTGGAAGAGGCTGGTAGAGTATAATGTCTACTTGTGTTCAACAGTGGTAGCAGCAGCATCTAGATAGCAGCCAAGATTTCAATGGTGGTTCAACCCATGACAAGATTCCAGGTCTCGAGGCTTCATGGTAAAATAGTGATATTTGTGGCTGCTACATGAGGGTCCATGCTGGATTGGGGGGCAGGGGCTTGGCAGTGGTCGTAATCCCTGTGAGAGCCAACAACGTGCCACTTGGTAACAACACAACCTCTGCCTCACACTCATAACAACAACTACCCGGTACTCTTATAATCCTTCAGGGAAAATTATTTGAATAGTTAAAAATAAAAACAGTTCATCTGAAACAATGTGACATATGGAAGGCTATTTTTTTCAATATAATAATCTGTAAGTACTGTACTGCATAATAATGTTTACAGTACAAATTTGACCATGCACAGTCTGTGTGTGTGTGTGTGTATGTGTGTGTGTGTGTGTGTGTGTGTACATTCTGGTCAGCATAGTTCACAATAACCTACCCACCTTCTTAAGTACACAAGTATAACCTTGCCAATTTCATATCAGTCAATACATATAAATTATCTACTACAAATAAAATAAGAAAAAATCCATAAAATAGCAACTTACATAAATACCATTACATATAATTAAGCATAAACAAACTGGCAGAAAAGCCTCCTAGAATAAACCCAAAAAGCTTCAATGTACTGCATAGTGTTCTCCTGACCTTTCTTAATCACAGGACGAAGAACAGGTAAAGTAAACATCTCAAGGAGATGAACTAAACACTATACATCAGCCCATTGTCTGTATACATCAGTTTTTTCATTTTGTTTCACAGTAAGAAGTTAACAAAGAATACGATGGGTCCTGGCTCCCTCTCAAGCAGGTGGACACTAACATAATAACTGAATTCTTATAACGCCCAAGAAATTGACTCTTCCCAGGGACAGAATTAACAGTGTAGACTTTTCAGTGGGTCACAATCCCTTCAAACCTCAAACAATTTTTTTTTATTACCAGAAAAATAAATGGCAAAGCTTAAAAAAATACCACAAAAGCTCTAGGCTGGTCAATCTATTTGTTCAAACTTGAGTCTTATACATAGTGGAGCCACTAGCCTATCCCACAGGCATTAGGTAACAAGAGAGAACCAGCTGTAGATGTGGATAATCATACAAAGTGAACCAGATGTAGACGTGGATAATCAAAGTGAACCAGATGTAGACGTGGATAATCAAAGTGAACCAGCTGTAGATGTGGATAATCATACAAAGTGAACCAGATGTAGACGTGGATAATCAAAGTGAACCAGATGTAGACGTGGATAATCAAAGTGAACCAGCTGTAGATGTGGATAATCATACAGAGTGAACCAGATGTAGACGTGGATAATCAAAGTGAACCAGATGTAGACTGGATAATCAGACAAAGTGAACCAGATGTAGACGTGGATAATCAGACAAAGTGAACCAGATGTAGAAGTGGATAATCAAAGTGAACCAGATGTAAACGTGGATAATCAAAGTGAACCAGATGTAGACGTGGATAATCAAAGTGAACCAGATGTAGACGTGGATAATCAGACAAAGTGAACCAGATGTAGACGTGGATAATCAGACAAAGTGAACCAGATGTAGACGTGGATAATCAAAGTGAACCAGATGTAGAAGTGGATAATCAGACAAAGTGAACCAGATGTAGACGTGGATAATCAAAGTGAACCAGCTGTAGATGTGGATAATCAGACAAAGTGAACCAGATGTAGACGTGGATAATCAAAGTGAACCAGATGTAGACGTGGATAATCAAAGTGAACCAAAGTTAAAAATGAAAAGGCTTGAAAGGTGATACAAACTATATTTACACACAACTGCCTAATATATGAATGGGCTCATCCAACAAATGCCAGACTTAGTGTATTTCATGTGGAAAATAGCCAATAACTCTTCTATAAACAAATACAATACAATATATACATAAAGGGTAATACATCAGTTTCTACAAAGATTAAAATACAATCATAGGTTACAGGTGGTTAATAGCAGCAGGTAATGTACATCTAAATATCCTGT